TAGAGAAGCAGCAACGGCAAAAGCACAAAGAGACACGGGGGGGGGGGGGGGGCAGTGAGAGGCACCCACTCATCTTCCTATCAGCGTGGCTTAGTGATTCAATTCATGGCCCCAGGTAACTTCATGTGATTGATTTTTCAGGTCTGGCTCTCATGAATGCAGACAGTGGCAGTCAGGGGCAATGCTAGTTAAGTAAACTTACGACACACTCTAGGGGACCTCCAGTCTACAGCAACTCCATGCTGGCAGCACTGATGGGCATATGCTGATACACTTGTACAGAAGCACTCACAGTCACCTCCTTGGTTACAACCACATGTATCTGTCAAGCAGTTTGAGTAAAACCAGGTGACGTCAATCTGGAAATATAAATATCACATATCAAAAATATTCATATAGACACTGGCAACAATCACCTCAATGCAAAGCTATGATTCTTTCAAAATTCAATATGTAAGACTTCGAAGTATTAAAGTTTTTAATTTAAATGTTTCCTGAAACACAAGAAAAACAGTTTATTAGAACACATCATAAAACCTTGTACAGTACTTAGTAACACAATTAAGTCAATGACCCATTAAGAACATGCACACTAAGATATTGATGTGAGCATGTGTTTTGTATGGTTTTGTAATATTTAAACCATAATAAACTACAAAGAAGCTTATGAAATAAGAGAAACTCTCTCTAAACTGATCACAAATCAATAAATCTCAGAAGTGTTAAGAAAGTTAGATATACATAAAATGTAAGAAATAATAAAGTAGGTGGAAAACTCTTCTTTTAACATGAGAGTGGTTCATTCCCTTCATATTATTAGACAATTTCACAGGCGAATTTGTCATCTTTCCCTTAGATTATTTTGAAGTCCTAAGTGACAAAATTTCAAAGAAAACTGTCAATGCTAATTTGCTTATTGAATTGTTACACTTTCTACATGGATTTACACTTGAGTAATACTTACACACTTATGAGGAATTTAGTTGCTACCTACCTTATACAGTGGACTAAACCGACGATACATTAATACAACTTAACATCAGCTTCCACTTTCTTCCAAAATAACATACAAAGCAACACTCCCAAGATTCCTGGTTTCATACGAAATCTCCTTTCTCCCTAGGAACCATTCTGACACTTACACTCTTTAAGCCATACACGTAGTCTCAATACCTGAACATCTTGGGATATGTCATTTTCTATTAGAAAAACAAGACCTAGCTCTGGAAATTAGTCCCCCCTCATTCCGCAACTGAACCTGAGCCTGTTGACTGTCAGAACATGTTGTATGGCTCATTTATTTCCTTAGGTGGTTGCCTGAGTGAGGAGATATATGCATTTTCTTCTAGAGTTCTTCACATCTGATACTGCCTAGAAGAAACTGTCAATTTATTTCAATATGCCTGAAAAATGTGCGTGCTATGTAATACATTCCAAGCAAAATAAAACAAGTGGTTATGCTTATGCAAATAGTGCTCGGGATGAAACAAAAGATAACATAAATTGGGTATAATTTTGCCTGCATTAATTACAAAGGGGACTAATAGGACTACCCATATTGTAGAATGCTAAATTGGTGCCAAAGTAGCTTACTGTCTAGGTCAGCTAGGCGCAGATAGTCCTTATAGGTCCAGTTAAGCATTCACATTTTAGAATCAGAATAGGTATGGGTTAGACTTTCTTCATGTTCTCTTTTGCTACAGTAGTCAAAATTATTATGTTATGGAAGACAAGATGAAGATTTAAAGTGATGCAAGTTGCAGAGTAAAGTTTCTCTCTAGTGATATGTTCACTTTCACATCTTTCTATATGTGACCACAACTCACCACTGGATGGCAAGCTTCAAATGCTTCACTTAACAGTATTCCACATTCCTTCTTGGCAAACGGCTCTCTAAGGGGATTCAAACTGCATGGATTTCGAATGTCAGAGCTGTCAACACACTTAACCAGAAAGCAAAATCAAGGTGAGAAGCTTGTTTCATAACCATTTGTGTTTGAACTTGGAAAGCATAGTTTTGTTTGTTTTTTTTTTTTTAAAAAGAGATGTAAAACACAAAACAAATGCATCACTTATGAAAGCCATAATAAGATATGGAATTCAAAGGGGATGCTAATCTGCAGAAAAGAGAAAGTACACAATCTGAAGAAATGTTTCATTTGTCTGAGAGCAGCAGAAAAACACATACATACATATAGATCTAAACAGAGCTGCCATGCAGTCCCAATCTGCAGTCCTTACATCTGAATAGTCTAGCTTACATAAATAACAAAGTTCACTTGGGCAACATACATTAGAAGTGTCAGAAATCAGATCTTTTTACTCTAACTACTAGGAAGGGACATTTCTATGAACACCACTAGACACATGATGGTAAAAAAGTTCAATTTTTAACTTCACAGCTTATGGAAAGAGTATTTTTTTTCTTTCCATTGCTATGGTTTCACAGTTAAATATTTTCCAGCTATCAAAGATCAGCTAAACTGACAATACAGTCTTAAAGTGAACTCACAATTCTTCCATTACATAAAAAATGGCTACTTCAACTGTTTAAACAATGTCCTCAAAGCACTTGTAGATTCAGAATATTGTACAGCATTTTTCTCTACATTATAGCACTGTGTAGAAATAAAGGTGATTATTTTCTTCTCCTTAATGGATTATGGTATCCATAAAAACCACTGATATTGCCATTTGCATTGCTGCCTGATTGACACTTCCTGCAATAAATTCCCGATTTAATTCTAGATAAATTCTATGACGTAACAGCAAAAAAAATTTACTAGCAAACACATTCTTTTTACTATACCTCTACAGCTGTCCAGCTGTTTCCAAACTCTTGTGAGTTTGTTAATTCAAAATTATCTGGGGTCCTCAATTCATTTACTGTCTTCAAATCAAAATTTCCACATAATCCAGTCAATTCACCCTGGGGAAAAAAAGATATGTATATATAGATATAGATATATATAAATATATATTTCTACATGATACAAAACACTACCAGCCACGACTGTTTTCAAAACTCACTTCTTAAGTTCCTGTCTTCAGTTGCTTAATTATAAATTTGTTAAGATTTGATCCTTTTCAGCTGAATTTCAGCCAAAACAGTTCAGCTTTTTGTGATAATAAAGCTATAGAAAATATTTTATTTTGACAACATCAATATTATTCCCTTTCAACTAAGTATCTCCATGCCTTTGATAAAGGAGCTGATCTTTTGTTCAGAGAAGTGACATTTTTGCTAGCTATGTGCTTTTTAATGCTCCAGCAAAATAACACCTGCTCCAGTCACATAGGGAATGAGTACTGAAGGAGAATGTCACCTCAAAGATATTTGTTTCTGTTGTTACAGAAGTGAGACAGTAAATAGCAACTGATAAAAAAAAATTAAATTAGAATGAATATTCTAACTGACAAGATAGCTGAATGCTTCTCTCCTTGACTCTGTCACTGAATTCCTACATGATTTCTGACACATTGTCTATTCTCTGAATAATAATAACATGTCTTACTTGATAAGACTTACATAAATAACTCAAAAAAATGGCAATGAGAGTGTTGACTTCTGTTTACCTGCCACTGATGACCCATCTGTACATGAACTGTTGTTCTTTGATCCCAAAGAACGGTGATGTGCTCATCAGGAAAATGAACAACAGTGAAAAATCCAGCTTTCCATAACTGTACTTTTTGTAGTTCATCTATGTAACTAGATAAGCTCTGTTCAAAATAAAACAAGGCAGCATATAATGTAAGTAAAGTCTTCACAAAATGCTTACTTGACAGGAAATGAAACACCTAAATAAAATGAATGACATGGTTCTCAGACAGAAGTCCAAAAACTGACAGAAGGCCACACAGCGATAAATGCTTAAACAAAAGTGGTCTGGATTTTGATAGTGAACTGTGGTGTATTTTTATGATTTTCCTATTTTAAAAGTTGATTTTATATCAAATTTACAGGATGGGTAATGGCAACTGGAGCGAAGATTAAAAAGTTAACGGTTCATCTGCGAGGTAAAAAAATCAGTTTTAAGGTTCCTGGTTATGATTTTCACTTAGTTATATATCACTGCATTCAGAAGGTCTTAGCCACATGCTTTTTTTGCATACAGATAGGTATAAAGATGCACGAAGCATCTTCTTGAAATAAGGAATTGTCTAAATACTTCCAGAGATTTCCATCTTATTTACAGAAAGCATTCTTCTCTCCATCCAATAACAATCAGATTCCAAGTTATTTGTAGCATGGACCAAGATATCTAGTTTAATTACACAATACCTCATATAAAGAGACACAGCTTCCTTTGTACAGTCAATTTATAAATTGTAAATAGTATTATTTATACCAAAATTACTAAATACACTAAATATTTACAGCAATAGAGTTTGCAGTCTGGTGAAAACAAAAATGAAATTAAGGCTGTGGAGGATATACCAGGGACCACAATTTATTTTTTACAGCTGTATAGGAATATTCCTCCTATACATTCCAGACCAGGCTAAACTCTTAGTTCTAGTGGAATTAATAGCAAAACTCCCACTGACTTAAAAATAGCTGGATTTTTCCTAAGACACTAAACAGAAATTAAGTCTAAACAAAAGAATTACGATCATCTCGTCTAACATTTTTGTGAAATATAGACAAGATTTTGTTTAAGGTTTCCATTGATGAATCCAGATGTGATCGGCATTCACGGTAAAGATATTTATGCCTCTGCTACTTAAGTGTCACAGTAAGTTTTTGCTAATGAAATGAAAAAACACCCAGAGAAGTACATATGATACCTTTAGATCAGTATTAAAGACTGAAACTTACTGGATTTCCAGTTTCATCATCAAATATTAAAAAAGATTTTCCAACGTTAATGAAAATGCTTTTTCTGCAAATGATTCCAGTATTAAAGCAGTTTATATTCTCTATAATAATAGAAACACTGGTTGAAGAAGTACCCTGAAGGGGAAAAAAAAAAAAAGGAACGGACACTTTAAAATATACTAATATAAATATGCAAATTGTTACATAGTTCAATTAGCAGAAACCTCAATGTATAATTATTATGTTATGTATGATTCAAAGTCTAAGCAACATCAAAACTTAAAAAACAGTATATAGAACTCAATAAAATGTACAGATAGGAAATAAGTAGAGGGATAGTTTCTAACAGGTAGCTTTTAAATCCAGTTTTATAGAGGCTTTACAAAAAAGTCTCACCTTAACTAGGTAAACCTTACAAGTTCCAACAAAGTCAAATGTTAGTCCATCAAACGTCCTGTAATGCCGATCCCCATACGCAGTACACATTGATGGGCAAGGATGAAACGTGCATTGAAATGATCCATGCTGGCAAATGCTGAAAAATGTATGACCAATAATGGTAATATGAACTGTAACCACGGACAAATGATTACAGCTATTGCACTGAGAAGCAAAAAGCCAAAAGCCAGGCAAGTATGATGACTGTAGACAGAAGCATTCTGAAATGTTAACTAGAAGCAGCATATATAAATTAATTCTCTGGAAATAAAATGTACATATTGAACTCAGTCTGTGTTTCTTCCTGTTAGACTTTATAGGTTCCAGAATATATAGATACCAAAAAGGCATTTCTTTTGTTGAAACAAGAAAACAAAAAATGCCACCCGAAGTAATACAATTTATTCTCCAGTAACTCACATCAATAACGTGCCACAAGGATAAAGCTTTCTTTTTCAGCTTCTCACAGAACATTTGTTTCAATACGAGCTGAACCTTAGAATAAACAAGCAACGTGTCCTGTTACCACAGTCTTTATTCACCCTCTGCTCGAACAAGTATTTCACAGAAGTACAAAGGAAAAATTTACATACCACTATTTTGGTGCTTAGGTTCCTTAAAAGAACCATGTTTTGGATTGTTGGGCTTTTTTTTTTTTTTTCCCCAGATGCCTACGTATTATCATCCCCAATCCCTAGCCTTACAGTTTAGGGGCTTCCAGAATAGTTCAAGTTCTGTCTATGGCCACCTTAAGCATCAAAATGCTTTCATCACACATACACTAAGTGACCGTTCAGACCTTTCTGAATTACCTTTGCTTTGTAACTGCCTAACAGCGAGGCTTTGCAGCGCTGGATACTATGTCTCTTTATGCATCACTCTCTTGCAATCTAAATAACGTTTTCGGAAATTACATAAGATTTATAAATAATGGGTAGAATTTCATTTCCTGTATTCACAAGTCATTTTTAAAATGTTATTTTTTTATATTTCTAAATCACCAGGATGCTTAAAAATGTCCCTCAATAAAGACAGCATAGTTGGTGCCCTGGTATAGCTTTATTACAAGTATATTTTATAAATATAGGTTAAACTAAATCCAGCATGTGATACAATTTCAGCACATACCTAACTTTATATTAAAAAATATTGAATTTTCACTTTCCTGATTAAATGAACGCTTCACATTTTACAATTAAAGTATTAATCTGACTTATGAAAGTATTTGATAAATCACTAATGTTCGGCATCTCATATACTGAAGCACCAAGCAGCATAAAGTTTTTTGTCAGTAAACCTTTTCCTGTTCTGTTCATATTGCTGTCATATATGACAGGGTCAGAACAGCACTGTTTTCAAAAGAGCAGCAATTATCTGGAAAATCTAGGCAGCTCCAATTGCTAGTAGCATCATGTTTCCTTCTGTTCCCTTACCATGGAACTTGCACCAACCTGGAGTCATTTTCCAGATTTTCCAAGACTCCACTTATCCCACCATTGATTTGGCCCACTGCTTGCGTTTTGTATAACGACATATATAAATACACTAAGCACATGGCTAAAAAAAGTTAAAAGTACGACATGTGAAAAGCGTTTGCTGTACCAAAGCACAAGTAGATGGCAGTAGGACTCAAACAGCTAACTGCAGTCACCTCAAAGCGGTACCTAAGGCAGGAACCCAATCAAGCCGATGGAGAGAGAGAGTCAAATAGAAGAAATTATATATGGACTGAAAGGATAAATGCTGCTTCTCATTCTTTCTGTGAGACATGAGGTTTTATAGTTTTACTCTTGGCCTACGCAAATCCTCCCCCACATGCTGATCTGTTCAGGGCTCGTGCAGAAACATTTCTTAACATGTAAAAAGTAGAGAGCTCCCTCGCATACTTTCTTTTTCAGGAATCTTAACACAATTACAGTCAGAAGGAAGGGCTTAAGAGGTACACGATGTCTTCAAAGTCCTGTGCACCAGTCATGTTTCATACTAAGTAAACTAACATTTACTTAACAGAATCTAGAAAGCCCTAGTTGGAAAAGCAGAGCTACTAGCATCTTCCAAACTTTGACTAGCTTTTTAAAAGAAGTATTTCCAAGAAGTATTTGTTTAAGAACACAGAAAGCCCAGTTCAGCAGCCCACAGGAGACTAGCCAGCATTTGCTCAATGGTCTCAATGTGTGACAGCAAACCAGCACAGCTAACTGCACCACCCATCTTACCTTGCGCAGCACAGCACAAAAATGCCGCTCTGATACCTTCAATTAGCCTAATAACCTTTTGTGTTTAATCTCACCAGCACATGTAAACAACATCAGTCAGTTGCACTGAAAACCAAACTTAGGAAACTTAGAACCACGGTTCAGCCAGACCCCAGAGCTTGGGCTCAAAGTTCGTGACACTCCACACTGGTAGTTTTGCCAATTTAAGAGATTATGTTATTTGCCGTTTTACCGTTCAATAGACAGAACAGATTAATAGTTATGTTGCTAATACTACATCAAATATGAATAAGACGATATTTAGTATCAACACACACTATTTCTGTGCACTAAATAACGCTAAAGTCATTATAACTGCTATGAGTGCTTAAGTGGGTTTGTTTGCACGGGAGTATTCTCATGCCTTGCATGAGCAAAAATGCACATTTCCCTTGACATATCAAATACACCCCTGCATGCACATACAGCAGTCTCAAAGACTTTCTACATTTTGTATCAAGCAGAGCTGGTTGCAGACTTCCCATCTGTCAGTGGGCAACTGATTGCCAAAAAGCCACCATCACTTAATCTGTCTTTGCTTCTGGACACGGAAGACTAGAAAAGCCATGACAACCTTAAGGATTTGTACATGAATTAATGAGTCTGGCCTCAGGAAAAAAAAAAGAGAAGGCTAAATATCCAGTGTCTTTCTGCCTGCACTGCTGCTGCCTTTGGTGAAGTCTCCTACAGGCGAAACGGGATATAATAGTTCTTTCTGATGCAAGCAATCCCACACCAGGTCCAATTGGAGAGGCCTTTGGAAATAAGGGGGTGAATAACCCGGGTCGCTTTACCTGCCTGCCCAGTGGAGATGGCTTGTAAGTCGCTTCACCAGTCGACCAAAGGGCTACAAATATCTTCTAGAGCAGATACTGAGGACCTGACGAGAGGCAGAGGTAGGCAGTCAGCACAAGGCTGGAGGGGGCAACGACATCCAGACAAGGCAGTGATTAGTGCTGACTGGACAAGCCTTCACCATACCAGGCTATACTGAGCTGTGCAGGCCAGGAGCAGCAGTTTACCAGGTGACACCAGTTAAATGTTCCTGGTACGCTGAAAGAAGGGGACAAAAGGAACGAACTGCTCTGCTGAGAAGCTGGAGGCTACACCACTACCATGGTGTCTTGATGACTGACAGTACAGCTAATTTTTCTGAGGCTCTGGTAAGAGAAATAGTGCTGCTTAGTGCCAGCTTGCAACATTCAACAGTGGTCAGAGAAGAAAACAGGCGGGGACCATCAGGAAACAAGTTCGTTTCAGGATCATGCGGATGTGGTATATTTTCACATCTTTGCTCTCGTGAAGCTTATTGAAATACCAGCGTGCCACATTCTACTGAGAGTCCTCAAGGAAACTTCGCAGAGTAACGTAGCTATAGGGTATGTACTGCATTTACAACACCGGATAGTAAAAGGAATAGGTTTTCTGCATGTATTTGAGTGATCCTATCAACCCTTGTCTATTGGAACACTTCCTTTAAAAGCCGACTGATTCATGAGTTATCTTATCCACACACGCAAAATTAGCAACCAATTTATCTGTTACTGTGCTTATACGTGATGTTGCTCAATACTCTCCTTAATTTATCATTGTAGCGGGCGTATATTTATGGCCACAAGGTTATGTTTTGGGTCCTTAGACTGCTCAGATTCAATGCTAAATGTGAAAATGAATACGGAAAAAGCTTTAACAAATGTCACTCGGTGTAATATTTGAAGGATTTTACCTGTACTTCAGGAACACTGGTCAAAGAATATTAATTTAGTTACCTTGATAATCAAAACAATGATTTTTCTAAATCAAGCTTTTTTTTTTTTTTTTTTAAATTCTCAAATAGCTGTTATTTTGTTACGTACAAGTTCCTTGAAACAACAAACCCTAAAAAAATGTTATTGTAATAGCTCTTTGAACAAATGTAAATATAAAATTAGGGTAGATGATTCACCAGAATCTGGTGTGAAATTTACAATTAAAAACCATGAAGGAATAATCAACCCATAAATAAACAACGAAAATGAAATAATCACCTAAATAGATCTCTGCTTACCATGTATGGCAAGAAGAAATGACTTTGTCACCTGGAAAGTATTCTTTTCCTTTCCATAAACATGGACATTCATCTGCTTCCAAGCACACATCCCCATGTTTAACAAGACTACCAAAAAAAAAACCAAAAAATATACATTCAGCAGAAGTACACCTGGTATCTATACACAAATATATTTTCCTAAACTTTTAAATTATTAGCAGTATTATTATTATTATTATTATTATTATTATTATTATTATTATTATTATTATTATTATTATTATTATTATTATTATTATTATTATTATTATTATTATTATTATTATTATTATTATTATTATTATTATTATTATTATTATTATTATTATTATTGAAAAGAAAATAATATTTAAAATCTTCTGAAACTGAAAAGGCACAATTTTATTAATAATTACATATGAGTAATTTGGTAATTTCCTTTCACAGGTACCCAAATATTTTATCTTTAGTAAGTGCTAGCACTTTGGGTGCTAGCCCTTCAACCACTAACCCTGTGAAAACTTATTCATTAACACACAAATTTTAAGGTCAGGGAAACTAAGATTTTTCCAGACCTCCTCTAAACGTCACCAAATTTCTTGTAACTCAGCCAATTAGCTTATATTTAACTAAAGCCAAGAGATCTTCCAAGACATGCAAGAACCATCACGCTCCTTTACTCTAGTGGTATGTGCTCTCACTATCAAAAATCAGTAGCTCATTTACTCTTAAGAATTTTTAAATGAGGATTTCTTCTTGTTCTCCTCTTCACCCAATTTAAAGCTGTGATTTGCTACATAGTTTTCCTATAGCTGTAGTTACACCTCTTGCTCTGTAAATAATATAATCAATACCAAGAGCTATCCTGTTTGCACAAAATTGAGTACGTATTTCTGTATGACTGGCACCTTCATTCAAGCAATCACAAATACACTTAACTTTATTGGCAAAAATATCCTCACAGCCTTCAAAGAAGATTTTCATGATAACACAGATAACCATATGCATAGCTATTTACAGTTCAAGACTAATATCTATAAATTTGTGCCTATAATCACAGCTCCTAGAGTAACAGATAAAAACTGAAAATGCAAAAGAATTGTGAAAAATATTCCATTAGCAGAGAAAGAATAGAGGAATTCTTGCCCGGCAAGACAAAATAAAGCAACTAGTCTAAATTTTGAAGTAAAACATTTGTGGTTTTTAATAATATCCAGAAAAACTAAAATATAAGAGTTAGATAAAGAAAGATCTCAAACAGATTCTACAAATAAATCTCAGGAAATACCCCAGAAATCTTGAATGATTTTATTTAAAAAGCTGCCTTTTCACTGAGCCCAAGAAAGTTGTATTTCTTCCAAAGACAGATTCATTTTTAAAAAATATTGTAATGCTACTGAATATGCAAACAGATAGCAGTATAGGACCTAAAGGTCCAGTAACAGATAAAGGAACACCTTCAATGACAAATCAATCTGCTAAATGAAAGTTGTGAAATGTAAACTCTTGATAAGCTACAGCAGTGTCTTTCATTTTAAGTGCTGTAGCTCCAACTTGTTTTGGGTTCTGTATCTGTTCTTATATAGGATCCTGTTCGATACAACATAAGAAGCTGGAGCAACTAACATGCTAGTTACATAGTAAAAGGATTTCTTACAGGCACCATACAATCTACAATTATCCTTGTTTCTAAATGCTAAGTTTTGATATCTATTTGTATTATGAAATAAACAGTCTCTTAAAACAGTGTTGTTGGGCTGATAATCTTTTTTTTTTTTCAAGTTTGTTTAGAATTCCAATACCTCTCTGTAGTAATGCAACTTTTATACAGGTTTTCCTGCGTTCTTAACAGTTTTCTGAAGAAAACAGATTTGGCGTTTCTGATGTTTAGCTCTGTAATTTGGGCAAGACACTGCACCATGGACAAGAGATCGCAGGTGTGAGGCACATCCATGACAAATAGGGTGATGACAATTTTGTTTCCCTGCTATCCAAAAGAAAAGATTTCATCATTGTATTTATCATGGAACATCTTATTTACTCATAGTAATGAGCTAGTAATTTGCGTACTATAACTTAGACTCTTCTTCAGTGTGTTATTTATCAGGTAGAAATTTGCAACTCTGTAGGTCTTCTTAATGGGAACGTGCAGACATCATAAAACCTCCTCCCCCATTAAACTGAAAAACTGTAATTTTCCCCCAGAGTTTGTGAAGTGTTCTTTGTAATCCGTACATATTTCGAGTATTGTGTCACTCAAAGACAATCAACTGAGAGATTGAAATTCCCACTGGTTTACGGCTGCTCAGAACTGAACAGGGCACATTTAGACACAAAGAGCATCACACTGACAAGGTAACACTAAATGCAGTTTTTTCCTCATGTTATTACCCTGGCTAAAACAAGTGATAACAGCTTTCTCTCTTGTAAAGCCAAGCAAATGGATAGATTTCAATGATCTAAGAATTCACCACAAATACTCAACAGAGAGGCCTCGCACAGCTCCCCTTTGAAGTATCAGACTTTTTTTTGACGCCTATACTTATTGTCCAGCCTACAATGAACTGCAAAGATACAACAATAGCTATTGCACTTCACCATGCTGAACATTCAGTTTTGTTATTATCTCTTAATTGTCTATAGCTTTGTTTATTCACATACAAACAAATATGTAAATAGCCTTGGTAAAGGCATCATTAGAAACAATGTGTCTCCTGCGAGTCAACAAACACTTCTTTGCTTCTGCAAAGCCCACAAATCTGGACCAGAACACTAGAAAAAAAATAACTCTCTTGCAGCCTCCGCCAGAACAGTTTTCAACAGGCATGACTCCTTCCCCTCCCTTGGGCAACAGCCTACCGTCAAGTGATTTATGCAGCCACGAGCACTTTTGCCTCAACAATAAATCTTCCTACAAAGGTCTGCAATAGAGTTTAAGGGATGTAAAAAGAATTAAATAAGCAGCAGGTGACATTTCTAATACCAGAATTCCACCACCACCCATGACCTCCCTAATCAGAAAACAGGATAAATAAATTTTTCAGAAATAACAAATGTTGATAATGTTACTGTAGCACCTAATGGCTTCATTGTAGTTCACTCACTGCCTAGACAGGGAGAGTTACTATATTACTGCTGAGTGTTTTCTTACTTGTTTGCGCAGCTTCTTACAGTCTACCTCTTCTTCCCCCCCTCCTAGTTTATTATAAATAAATATTAAGTAAACATGCTAAGCACCAGGCTTGCAGCATGCTTGAAGGGTTTTTAGTACCCTTGCTGTATCCTCCTGGGTAACAACTGATTTTGACACTTCAGCTGAGATACAGTCAGACCCCTGCACTTCTACAGTTCCACACTGTATTGGGAAACCCCCTTGCATTCAGTTCTACCATCAGCATCCTACTGGTGCTAAGCAGAATGGGCTCTAAAAAAAAGAAAATTCACAGAAACAGTAGTAGCAGCTTAAAGACCAAAGGTAGGCGAGAATAAGAAAAACAAGAGCGAGAAGTAGAATGAGGGGATTCATCTAGATTCCCACATTCTGCAACCTTTTCCACAGAGGCCTCTGAAAATTTTGACTCATCCATTGCCTGCACTTCCTCCGAAGTCTCCTTGAGTAAAAAGAAGCTCCTGCCTCTACAAATGTTCTACTGATTGGTGTGGACAGAAGATAGCAAAATTATCTCACAAGTCACTAGTATAATACTCGGAGCTGCATAAAACCTGGGCGCAGGTTTTGCTGCAACATAGAGTAAAGCAAGAGAGGGACTTGTCCTGACATCTCTCATTTTAAGTAGAAAAGCACTATGGGAATTAAGCAAAGTGACTGAAACACTTTAACACTTCCCCCCCCCCAGATGTTTGGGATTTTTTTTTTTTTTTTAGTTTGTGTTGTAGGGAAGGAACAAAAGAAGGAGGCAGGGACTGAAGACTGTCAGGAAAAAAAAAAAAAAAAAAAGAGAGGGTTGGAAACAGGGGCCTCTCCCACCCTGCTCACAGTCCCATCAGGGCTATAAGGTCAGGGTCATCTCAGAGAGCACCTGCAGCTCTCACAGCTGCATAAAGCAGCGGTACACACTGCCTCGTCATCAAGTAGCACATATCCCAAGGCAAGACTGAGGGAAAGGAAGGCTGAGGTTTGTACTCTGTTGCAGCCTATTTCACAAATAAGAAGTGCCTGGATTGTCATATCTACCAATGTTACTTCAGGGCTATGACTCAATTTTTTTTTTTTTTTTTTCAAAGTTCAAGTATTTTTAATTAAGCACACTAGATTAAAACCTACATGTCCTCAAACAGTACCATTTTCTTCAAGAATACTGTGGGTGCAATTCAGTGCTAAAAATCATGTAAGGCAGGACTCATGGGAGAGTGAGATACCAAAACAATTGCCATTTGCAAATGGCCAAGAGGATAATATTAGCTGTCCCTGATCTATGATCATTGATTCTTCTGAAAAGAATGGTACACTTTGGAGGGATGAACATCTGGTCTTTTTATTAATTATGCTTTTGGGGAATGAATGTGTTTTTGCAGATACATGTCAAAGTATATTCCTGGTCTCCGAATTCTTAATCTGCAGTAGAAGATGATAATCTATATGCCAGACAACTAACAGATTTATAGCTGAAGCAGTTTTCACCACGGAAGATGATTCAACCTTACTTGACTTACTCATCGTTGCCAGTAAATAGCATCACCAGGTTTTTTACAGTCAGATCAAGTACCTGCTTGAATTGTAGTGGAGGTTAAAAAGTAAGCAAAACAAAACCAAAAAAGATGGCTTGACTGATTCAAGATCCTCAACTCCTCTCAAAGAAATGCCTAAGTTAAATACTCCATAACTACAATAATGGTTTTTTAGTATGCAATTTTTCCTAATGTAATGAACAAGTTTAAATAGATATTCTTTTTATTACAAGAATGCATTTTCAGAAATTAACTGCAAATCTAACAGAAGCCTTCCTTTCAAACCAAATGACAGAAAGTTCCATTATTCTCTTCTTAAAAACAAGTGGAAAAACAGAAGGTAATATGAAAAAGTGCTCAAGAATCTGAATGATACTGATGAAGTTTTACTGTGAACTGAATACAAGTACAGGGAGGGG